TCGCTCGTTGGTGGCAAAATACAGCATGGCTATGAATTTCAGCCGGCAACCACTTCACAAGTGGTTGGTGGAGTGTGAAAACCGAACACCCGGGGGGCCAAACTCAAAAAGTTGCAAAGGACTGTTCTGGGCGTGACGACCTAAGACCCCCCTGATGGTCCAACCATCTACTTTGGTTCACCAAGCGAGACCAGTTGCCCTGCGTGAGCTCGGAATACCCCCCCCCAAAGAAAAAGCATAACAAATCTGGACTTTGTTTTTCTTGCTGCTTCGGAATCTCAAGGGCGTTGGGAGTGAAGAAGTCGGAATTCACCTTAAAGGAACCAGCACAAGGATAAGTTCAGTTCGGGGTCAATCGTTGTCTCGTTTACTAAGGATGCAGCAAGTTTTAGGTCTTCACGAAGCAGAGAGCAGAACCATGCTCAGACCCCGAAGAAGGTTCTGATACTCGCAGGTCCGATCGTCACACAATCATGCCAGCATCCGAAAGGACATATTCTTGAGGTGTCAAAATAGAGAGCCGAATGCGGGAACTGCTGGGGTTGCCTGGCTTCCCGTTTTTTTAATGCTTCAGGAACGTCCCAAGAACGACGCACACCGGCTTTTGGACCATGCCCGGGTCAAACCCCTCAATCCCCACCTCTCCCGCGGGCCCTGCGGCGCGCCCCCGCCACCGCGCCGGCGCGCCCGGCCATGGGAGGGTCCAAAAAAACTCGTGAGACGTGGGGCGTTCATCAAGCCCGTTGGGTTGTGAGTGTTTGAGTGACTTGTTGACCAGAATGTTTGTCTTTAAACTGCTTTTGGGAGACTTTAAAGTTTGGGACACAGGAAAAAGCAGGCGTCGGAAAGTGCTGGTTCCGGGAATGTTCTTCTCCTTCGCCCAAGGTCAATGGTCTCGGAAATTCTCCAAGTTGAAGAAACGGCGTTCCTCACACAGGGCTTTAGAACCATTCTGGGGGGGTGCTTGGAAGCAAAACCAAGGCGAAGCTGCCCAATTTGGGGTTCCCGTTGAGACAAACCAAGAGGCGTTTGTCCAGCCAGCTTCAAAAGGGCGTTGTTCAGCCTCATTGCCGGCATTTGTCTTTCTTCTTTTGCTTCCCGAAAGGTCGTCTAAGGTTAGTGAGTTAAGAGGTACAAAAATCATGGTTGTTGCAGCCACCAAAATCGAAAACTGGACAGGACCCAAACCTAGAAAGAGTGCCAGGATCAAAATTGCTAGTCTGCCCCGAAGCTTCCCATGCAGAGCTTGGAGAATCTTGCAGAAGCTCATTGACCTGCAGAGCCAGCGGCAAAATGACTTTCACGCCAAGCGCAGAGATCCCGCTGCATTTCTCTCAGAGCTTCATCACATACTGAAAGCTGATCTTTCTGTTGGCAGATCAGTGAAAGGACTTGAGCTCATTCGAGGGACATCGTCATGCTTACCCTCATGTTTTTATAGGGAACCAGCTAAAGTGCTTCGAGATCTGGAAACGCCCCACTTAGCTCTCTCCCTCTCTCTTCTTCTTTTTGCGGCGGAATCTTAAGCCCCGGCACTGCCCTGTAAGCAGAGTCGCCAGGGGCGAGTGTTTCTCCTTGACAAATCACGGCGTTCCGTTTCGCATTCGGACGCTTCGGAAGGCCACGTGGGAAGAGCTTCACCGCCAATGTCAGGACACGCCCCTTGTTTGGGGGACGAGAAAGGCACCAAAGGCGAGGACACCCGGCTCTTTACACTTGGCACATGATGAAAACTCACAAAAAGTAGGGACCCAAAAACATCCTCGCCGGGATGAACCCTTTGGGCGAGGAGACAGCTTTCGACTTGCATCTTCTCCAACATTGACGGGGAATCCGCTCGGCGCCAGTGCAAATTTACAATGCATCCCCTTTGCGCGGGGCAGCTGGATCTGAGGGACAACTTGTCTTTTTGTTTGCCATCTGGGAGGTTTGCTGTGGGTTCAAGCCCTGTGTGCGTGTGTGTCTTCTTTGGAGCTTGAGTTGGATCCGGCTCGCTGCTGCACGAGTGGCAGCTTCAAAAGGGGAAAGGCGAGAAGTAAGTACTAGTAGTGCTCGAATGCTTTTTTTTTGCAGTCCAAACTTGGTTTCGGAACCAAAATGTCAAACAACTCCACAGAACCGGAAGAGAAGGCCCCAAACTCCTCGCGGCTCACTTTCCAGCTCCCACCTCGACCGTGTTCGCCAAGTGGTGGGGAGCTGGATTTCATCCCATACCCCTCCCGCCCCTTCGCTTTCTGTTGGCTCAGCCGCGCGCTCCTTGCTGCGCGGCTTGCCGGCTCCCTCTTCCCAAAGACAACCGGCCACGCTCGCCGGCACCCCTCCACGACTGGTGTTCAACAAAATCCGGCGCTGTCCAAAAGCAGTCGCTCGGGGGTGCTGGCGGAGTCTCTTGCGCCAAAGAAGGCGCCCGGGGAGCCCTGGGCCGTCTTGAAATTGTGGCCCCGCAGCTGCCATCTGTGCCGGCAGCAGGAAAAAAAAAACCCTCGATCCTTCTCGCCCAGCGTTTGTCAAACACAAAGCGAGGCAAGATGATTTGCTCCAAGATCGACAGTTGCTGTTCTTTTCCAGACACTTTACCCCAAAACCGTCACAGCGGCTGGAAAGAAACAGCAACTGGCGATCCAGGAGCTTGTTCTTTTGTCCGTTCTCTCGCCGACACGGCGGTGCTGGTGCAAAAAAGCCCTAAGGGGCGTTGTTTCTTTTGCTTGACGTGTTTCTGAGCGGCAGCTCTGGGCATGCACCGTTCCAATGCATTCTCACAGCCCAACACGAATTTCTCTTTCCATTCGGTGACCCCGTGAAGGGTCAGAGCGAATTCGGTGGAACGCTGGGGATTGGGGTGCCTCCGGCCAATGGCCCTTGCTCACTTAAAAGAAAGAATAATGTGCCAGAATCCTGGGCAGATGCAAAAGAAGAAAACACCGAAGAAGCCCTCAAAAAAATGCATCTAACTCGATCAAGATTGGCCGGAGGCTACAGAGATCAATTGGCCGAGCAGTTCCCCTTCCCGGGAAAGGCACAGCTCAGCGACGCGTGCGACGCGAGACTCACCCAGCGGCCCGACATGCCAACTGCGCTTCCGAGCGCGGAACATGCGGATCAATTTTTGAGCTGAGGCCTCCACACAAATCGGCGCGCAAACAGATCAGTCGCAACCGACAGTCCCGAAAAGCACCGAGAACGCCAAAAAACACGGACCTCTAAATATGACCAAGTCGGACTAGTTCTGCTTTTTCGACTCGCTGTCATCTGGTTTCTTCCTCTGACCTGTTTGGGGCTCAGCTGAACACCGGATCGATTCACTCCACATTGCGGTTGACGACCCCCACAGCCACCGGCATGGGCGCGGCCGCAACGGCATCTGCGTCAGGTCAAAATCACTGCCACCGAACGACTTGTCTTTGATGTTCTCTTTTTGGGGCAAACCCGTGCTGTCCAAATGGCATGTTGGTGCTGGTTTGCGGGGAGGTGATGGTTTTCACTACCAAACCACTACCCACAAGGGTTCTATGGGATACACCGCACCAACAAGCACCATGCAAAGAGTGCAGTGTGTACCCCAAGGTGGAAACATACTGTGTCCCATCTATTTTGGGAGGTCCCCTGACGTTGAGACATTCAAGTGGGCAAAATCCACTTCGCGCCACTTGCAACACCCGATGATGGATACCCCAGTGCCTTGGTGCAATCATACATACACCCGTTGTATACCCCATTGATATCTGTACTTGAAGGGAATATCTGGCTGGTGCTCGGACACCCCCAGCACAAGATCAGCGTGCGACGGCTGATTCGCTAATTAAATAGAAAGCAAGCAGACTGATCTACGCTTGATGGCGGGCTTACTTGTGATACTTATATATATATATATGAGGCACGGTCGAAATTACTTGCGGCCGTTTCGCTACTTAGTTTGTGAGTCCCCTATCGTTTTCCAGCTTTCCCATCCTCTTCCAGGGGTCTCGTTTTTTCGAGAGTCCCCTATCATTTGCCACGGTTTTGTGCATTTTCACAATATCAATGAAACACCGAATACTAAACTCAACAGAAGTAATTTTGACGGTACTTCATATACGTATAAATGCATATATATATATATATATATATGTGTGACGGGTTCGACCATGGCTGAGTCCACAAAGGCAATGACCCCAATCAAGGAAAACTTCGACCCAAACCAGGGTTGGGCCGACTTGCGAATCACGTGTTTAAGCCAGTTTCGAGAACCTCCTTTTGTTCCTCAAAGCGGACCCGGCTTTGCTTAAACAGAATTTGCCCCTGGTCAGGCATCTTCTTTTGGCACACAATCAGTTGAGTTGCGGACGAAGGGCGCCCCCTGCCTGCACAGGCGCACTTGTGTGCCTTGGCGCTCGCCCTCCATCTGAAAATGACATGGGAGTCCTCAAAATGGGATTCGGAGCCCCTTTTGGTTGACCTTTTTGTGTGAAACCGAAGCGAGCCTTTTGGGGGGATCCCATTTTGAGAAACACATCCTAGTAAGTCGTGGCCATGTCCCTCTGAAAACCGACGGGCAAGACTGAAATCACCCCCGAAAAAGCCATGAATCCCCGATTCATGGCAACGTGGCGAAGCAAATGGCACGCAAGGTGTTTGTGCAAGTCCGCTGCTTGCACGCCGAGACACTTTGCAGAGGTCGTGCCTGGGCCGAGGAAAGAAAAGCACCAAATCCGCCTCTCCCTAAAGCACTGACGAAAACCAACACACAAAAGACGACCTTCTCAACAGCCCGCGCTTCAAGTCATTCCATGGGTCAGGCCATCGAACGAGCCAACCATCTTGCTCCTCCGGAGGAGTAAAACTGTCGGGCTCTTGCCAAAATATATGGGTCAAAATCCCGTACCCCCAGTGAACATCCCAATCCCCACTAAAATAGACTAAAATGGGTGCTGCACCTACCCCAAAATGGTACCATTGGTTTTGACCCACAGCCATATTGACATAGAATCACGAGGGCTTCCCTGGACTGCCCCTTTGCCCTTCTACCCGGGCTCCATCGTGCGGTCCAAGCAGCCGATTTTCGCCCAGGCAACGTTCCTGGCACCAGCGCCGATTGGCACGATCCATGGTGCAGTAAGGGTGTTTCTGAACGGTGGACCGCTTGGGTTTTGAAGAGAAGCCAAAAGGAAACACCTCGTCGTTTTTCATTGTTTTTGATGGGCGGTTCCCCTATTCTGAGAAACTCCCACCCCCGCCCTTCCAGTTGCAGTCGTGGAAATCATGATTTTGGTGGGGGGTGAAAGACCTTCCCCCATGAGTTGTTGCAGTTCCAATAGCAGATGTCTTGCTAGCGACCAGGCCTTTGTCAAAGCAATTTGTGTCTTTGTCCAGTAACCGCTAGCATGTCAGGGAAATCCGTGCTCTGCTTTTGCCGAGCCGCTAGCAGCTCTTTTCTTTTCGATCTCTCGTCACGGCCTTTGGTTTTGATAACTCCGCGCCTTGCCGTTCGGCAACTCCTGGGCGCCCTCCGCGGGCCTCGGACGAACCGCGCGTGCGGTGCGGGAAAGGCCCGACGGAAGGCCCGGACGCTCCCGGTCCGCCGCTGCTGCCCCCCCAGAGAGAAAAAAAAGGGGGAAAACAAAAACTGAAAAAAAAAGAAAAGAAAAAAGAAAAACACGTAACATGTGCGTGTGTGTGGTGTGTCTTCTTTGGGGGCAATTCGGAACCCCCGGTTGGTCGGCTTTGAATTGAAACCAGGGGTGCCCAAAAACATGAACACGTGCTAGCCTCGAGCTAGTGGTCTATTTCCGATAGAGTTGGCTTCCGCTTCTCTTCTAGCAAAGCTCGATAAACGAGCCCCAAAAGGGACAGGCCCAACTCCAAACCACAAAACAAGGCGACATAGAGGGACTCCTGCAAAGTGTTTGCGTCTACTACAATGACCCGACACGCAAAAAAACGCCATACTTGTGCTGCCTTGTTTGGGTTGTACCCCGTGGACCTCTTGCTTTTGAACCACGCATGTTTGACACTTTTAGCGACCCTTTCGCGCCCGGACCCCGGTTGGATTCGTTCGTGTGGCGCTCTTTCAGCAGGCCAAACTGCATGTGTTGCTTGCACTTCTCCAATCGATACAAGGACGCACTCCCGCAGAAAAAGCACAGCCACACCTGAAACCCAGAATCTGAACCCTGATAAACCTGAGCCCCACGCCCAACTCCGTGCTTCCGAGAGTGTGGCTGCTAACCAGTCACCAGGTCCCCCAAAACAAACCCTAAACGAGGGAAAACCCCCTCTGGCCACACCTCATAGTTCAGCTAATTGCGGGTTACTTTCGTCATGCTCCGGTTCGTGGTGGATCCGAAGGATTTTCAAATGACCAACAGGGAATCTCACACCACCAAGCCTCTTCGGCCCTCGAGGTTTGGCTTTTGGGGGTGTGGGATATTCGCTTGGGTGGGCTTCGGCAAAACGCAGAACTCGTGACGGTTCCGCCGATTCAACGCGGCTCCCAGTTTTCAGCAACGCGGCTCTGCGTGGTCCCCAGCAGGAGCCTGTGGCTCGGTTCCCATGCCCCCCCCCAAACAAAAGGTACCGAGCCCCAAACCAAAAGACCCAACTCATGCGGAGCCAGGAAGAAGATCTATGGGTTTCTCGGAAAAAACAAAACCTGGGTTCTCTCTCTCTCTCTCTCTCTATGACCAAAAAGTGGGACCTTCCTCCAATTTTCGAAAAGGATTAGGGTTCGCTGACACAACTCTCGCCCACTCCTGAGGACCTTTCGCCCTGTGCACCCTCTTACTGCCTGCACCTCAGACTCGGCCAATCAACCCTGCTTTTGAAAAGAGGATGCCCACATTGGTACTTGGCGGTATTCCTTGTTTGACTGCGTTTCACTCCTTTCCGCTCCCGTCCTTTTCTTTTCGTTCCTAGAAACGCCCAAGGCCGGGCTGAACAAGTCCTCCTTTCGCAAAGAGTCAAGACTTTGGAAGCGGCGAGTTTCCTTTCCAGTTCCTTGACATGTCCAAACCATGTCAATTCCATTTCAATTCCATTTCAACTCCATTCAATTTCCGTTTGCTTCTCATTTCGTTTCCATTCCTTTCTCTTTCCATGTCCTCGATTCGCTTCCATGTCCTTCCCATTCTTGTTTCGATTGCTATCCCCGCAAACGACCTTCGCCATCCACGCCTCAGCAGCAACCTCCTGCGCAAGGCCGCTCGAATCCAATTGGGGAAAATGGAAGCCAGACCTTGGCAGCCCGTTCAATTTTTGGGAAGCACAAGGAAGCTGTGAAACAAATTGAAGGCCCGTTGACATCCTCAAATGGAAGATTGAAAGGGTGCGCCCCCAAAAGACGTCTTGAGAACGCTCGTGATTGATCACTTTGGTGACCCGTGGAAATGGGTCCAAGTGGGTTCCTTTCGGTTGACACCATGGTCAAGGCCAGTCCCTTGGGAATCCTTACATTGTAGACCTAAGCTCCCTAGAGGTAGCACCATCCCTGGCAACCTCAAGCAAAGGAGCCTCTTGACCTTCGGGTTTATAACCCGTCAAACAAACAGGTCCCTGACGCGAAGCTTCGGGCCAGAAGTTAGTGCCGGAAGCACAGAGTAGCATCGAAGCTATTGGGTGTGTCGCTTTTGAGGGTAACCCGCTTTGGTTGTTTGAAGGGGGACTAGAAGGAAACCAGTTTTTCGTTTGGGACACCCTATTCCTGCAGGCTGGAAAATATCATAGCAACAGTGCTGCAAAAGATCAGAACTTTGCAAAAGGGTTTTTTTAGGCACCAAGCATCGCAATACAAGAAAGAAAAGGAAGCAAGGAAGGAAGGAAGGAAGGAAGGAAGGAAAGAAAGAAGGAAAGAAAGAAGGAAAGAAAGAAGGAAAGAAAGAACAAATGAAAGAATGAAAGAATGAAAGAATGACAGAATGACAGAATGACAGAATGAAAGAATGAAAGAATGACAGAATGACAGAATGAAAGAATGAAAGAATGAAAGAATGACAGAATGACAGAATGACAGAATGACAGAATGACGGAAATAAAGAATGAAAGAATGAAAGAATGAATGAATGAAAGAAAGAATGAAAGAATGAATAAATGAAAGAAATAATGAAAAAATCAATAAATGAAAGAAATAATGAAAGAATGAATGAATGAATGAAAGAAATAATGAAAGAATGAATAAATGAAAGAAATAATGAAAGAATGAATAAATGAAAGAAATAATGAAAGAATCAAAGAATGAAAGAATGAAAGAATGAAAGAATGAATGAATGAATGAATGAATGAATGACAGAAATAAAGAATGAATGAATGAATGAATGAATGAATGAATGAATGAATGAAAGAAATAAAGAAAGAAAAGGAAGACAGAAAAACAGAAAAGAAATAAAGAAAACAATAATGAAAGAAAGAAACACGGTTTTTCCACAAAACAAGTTGACGTCAGAACGATCCGACCAAACAGCAGCCAAGCCGAATTGGGATGCCCTGAGAAAGGGCATCCAAAAGGTGCCGTCCTGGTGGTGATCCTCGTGGTTCTTGTGGTGTCGCCTGGCAGAGAAAGATTGGACATCCCTCCGGGACCTGTACTTGTTGCTTGCCATTTGAGGGGAGATTCTGGATATGGAAGCAACCCGGCTTGTGGTGCGTCTCCCATGCCCGCAATTCACGATACTAGCCATTTTGACCCTGACCTCGTATGAGCCAACATTAAAACTTCTGTGGGCCACTGTGATGGTTTGTTGCCTAAATTCCGACTCACGGGCCCATCCCTAGCAGCAAGTTTGTTGAGGCGCTAAACGATCTGGACACATACGCTCTAGGCAAACCAATGGAAGCTCCCAGACCCCTTCAGAAGACTTTCCATTTACAGTAGATTACCGTGGCTGTCTGAAACCTTCCCCCCAGGCAAGGTGGAACCTGATTTGGGGAAGAATCAACATTTGGACCCCCAAAATGGGGCTTCAGTTTCCTCGTTTCCACAGCCATCGGTTCACGCCCCGCTCGCGCCCCAGTCCCGCCCAGCGCCTGCCCCTCTGCCGGTGGCGCTTGTCGCGTGGCTCAGGCTCAAACCTGGCGCGGCTGCGGCATTCAGAAGCCTTCGGCACTCCTTTTGTCACCTTCCTCCAGTGTAGAGGTTCGAATCGGGGTACCAACTTTTTCCTGTAGTCTATTTTAGGGAAACCCTCCCCCGAAAAAGAAACGGTAAAAGGGCACTACTGGGGGACCTAGTCGCGCTAAATTATTGGCTGGCCGCTAACACGCGGAGCCCGAGCACACCGAGCAGCGAGCGTGGGGGTTGCTCGCGCCTGTGATCCTGACCTTTGGACTTGGCGGGTGGCTCAGTCTTCAGCTTGCCCACCAGGCTCCAGTCATAGACCTGTGCTTCGCTGCCGATCGCTGGTGGGCGTGGTCTCTAGGCCATGTCTATGGGGAGCACTCCCTACTCAATCCCCCCCCAAAAAAAAACAACTTGGAGGAGCCTCCTTCTGGGGACCCCCGTTTTGGGTGCCTCCCATTGGTGCCTTCCACCCGCCCTCTCGGCCAAGGCGCAAAGTCCAGCTGAAAGCCTCAAGCAACGAGGCGCTGCCAGATCCCATTCGAAAGATTTGTGGTAGTGACGCCAGGTCCAAAACGAGCGTTTAGCATACCCTGTGGATCCCAGTTACCATTGCAATCGGCAACCATCTGTCGTTCCTTTTGGCTTTCAAAGGGTGGTTCCCTTGGCTACCCACTCTACGGAGAAATGAACTCGCTGGGCAAATACCCAACCAATAGGTACAGTTACAAGTTTGCACTCCCCAGAAATGGATGGTAATCCACAACTGGGAAGCCACGTGCTAACTGATTGTTGGCACTTTAGAGGTGTCGTCTGTTTGCACCACTTATAGAGGGGTTCTGCAGGGGCCCAAACAGATCTTATGCGTTCAAGCTTCCACGCTTTTCGGGCGGTTTTGCCTTCTGCTCGATTCAGGTAGGTTCATCTCCAAATTGCCTGCTTTGGTTTCCCTTTTACACACCACCCCCAAAAGGGTGCCCTCAAAAATCACAAACCTGTATGTTGTCCCTCCTTCTCGTCCTCCTACTTCACCAGTAGACTAAACTAGCAGTAATTCTGTCAGTTGATGTCAGTTGCTCGTGTGTCCCCTTTTGGTGTTTTTTAAGATCGCCTTTAGCCCAATTGAAACCTTCAGCAATCAAACATGGTGGCTTCCTCTTTGGCTTTCCTTTAAACCGTCCAAAAAAGGGTGCCAACAAAAAACCATTGCGAGCAGCGCCCAAAAACTGTACCTAGGCCTTACCATAACACCTGATGCGACCCCAGCTAACCGCTGCCCGTTGTGGACTCGGGTTTTTGGGCGCCGCGCCCTCGCGGGCGAAGGCTTCCCGCAGCAGCTGCCGCAGGTACCCGTAGTCCGGTCGCTCCTCGAACTGCAGCTTCCGGCAGTAGGTCAGGTACCTCGCAGGACCCTCATTCCAAGCTGGGCTGCCCGTTTTCAGATCCCGCGCTAAAAGTGACTAACTGGGTTAAATGGACACTACCACCAAACACTAAAGGCCAAAAAGCTAAGGGGATGGCTGGGAGCCACCAAGCAAGGTGGTCGGGTCAAATGCTTTTTGCTTTGAGGTCAAGTGCGTCGATTCCATTCGATTCGCGCTTCTCAGACCCCCCAATCTCCGTACCCTGTCCATTTGAAGCGCACAGGGGTTTGGAAGACGAAACCTATCCTCTTCAAAAGGCCTCAAACATCCACCTCCACGAGCATTGGGCGATGGACCATGGGTAGGATTCTGCGCCCATTTGGGCGTCAAAATAGGGATTTGGAGTTGTCCTTTTGGCTTCCCAAAAGGGTATCCCCGCAAGGCACGCGCGCCTTTTGGAGGAAGTCGTCCCGAGCTAAACGGTGGTTGAAGGTGCTTGCTTCCAGCGCAGAAATGTCTTGCACGTTTTCAGGGGGCTCCTAGATCAGCCATTTGCGCCCACACGCACTAGCCGTTTGCTATGCCGATCAACTCTGAAACACCTCGGTTCCAAACCACAGGGCAACTTCCCTGAGGTGGCGTGAGGGAACCTCCTAAGCTTCGAGGGCACTCCTCGAACTCCTTGGGCAAATCCTTGCACAGGTCCTGTGAGCGAGGAAGGCACTCTGCCACACCATGGAAGCTGACAGAGTTGAAAGGAGAAGGGCCTTGTTCCATGGCCTTCCACCACAAATTCTCAGGCACACACACAAGCGCGCTCACCTTTTCGGATGCGAACTCTCGCCTCAGCCTGACCGACTGCACTGGTCGCGTGCATTCAAACGCACAACGCCAGCCTTTGGCGGAACTTCGCATTTCGCCGCAAACGGACCCCGCGCAGGCCCCGGCGTCCGCGAAGTCCGCAAAGTGTGCGAGCCACAAAGATCTCTGGGCAGAGATCTCGCGCGCGGCGGCGCGTGCGCGCGCTGTGCGCGCGTGCGCTGCAAAAGCCGCAGAGAACTCTCAGATCACCGTGCTGAAAGGCTGCAGCTGGTGCATCTGCAAATGCCTCAGCCAGGACCATCTGGCGAAAAACGCAGGGCCCCCGCATCTTTTGAGCAAAACCGCACAGGAGGGGAGTCTCATAGGACGAAGGTACCTCTTGCAGATGCGTTTGGGAGCGGAAGGGGTCCAAGCACATTTCCTCAGAAGGGACCCTCAAACCACCCTTAAACATGGGAAATCGCACTGCAAGCTTGGGGCAATGTCTCATTGACGCTTGCCAGGGCTCCCTAAGTTTCCTACTTGAAAACATCTCCGCACAAAAGGAAACTCGCCTGAATTGGCCGAAACGGTGATCTTGAACAACCACCACCAAAGAAAGGAAACATCGGGAGCCTGCTACTGCACCCTCAGAACAAACTCCAGACTTTCGGGCAAGATACTCCACGCGCAGGCTGCTTCGCAGCAACTGCACATCCAGCTTGCCGAAGGGAAGGAACTGCACCTTGCCCGGAAAATGACTGCACTTCGTGGCAGTTTAGGTGTACCCCATGTCCCCTTGCAGAAAATGGCCCAAAACACATCGTGACTGCTCGCTATGGATTCTCAGAAAGCAGGGGGCCCTTAGGGGATTTTCCTCTTCCGGAGGGAGCCTTGACACAACAAAGACCCCATTTGAAAGACTTCCTTCATAGCTGTCCAGCCCCCAAATGTTAGGGATGTGCGACTTGGACCCCCCACACTGACTGGCTTCCTTTTGGCTTCAGCAACGCCTAAGGAGGACCTCGAGGGACCCCTTGGCCCAGAAACGTGTTCCAAACCCAAGCGAGGGAAGGGTTGAGTTGGTCTCCCCGACAGGGTGTGTATGCCTTACCCTTGCTCACTCAATATAGAACCCAGACCGCGGACCTAGATTTCCCAGGAGGCCCACCACAAAGGGACAAACCTCAAAGGGAAAAGCGGGCTCTTTCCACCAACAAACCCATTTTAGGTGGGTCTTTGGACAGTTTGGGTAGCACACGACTCTCCCCCATGAGGCTCCGCCTTTCCGCTCCCCGGAGCCATGGCAAACGCGTTGTCGCTGAAGCGGCCATGCGCCAGGGTGGTGAGGGTCACGTACCTGAAGCTCCACGTGGGTATGGGTCAAAATTAAACCACCCGGGACCGCAGATTTCAGCCCTTGTTTCCATGTACCAGGGTTCCATCTGGGTAGTTAATTTTGACGACCCACACCCACATTGTGGCCAAAGAGGGGACCAAAACAGCTGGTGTTCAACTTGTGCTTAAAAACGAACACATGCTGTGCTCGGTGGCCTCAACATGGGATTTGTTAATTTTGCCCCCAACGAAAAAGCTGCTGCCAAGAAAGATTCTCCTGGCTTACCCTCGAACCCAAACGTGCCCAACTGGTTCTGCCCCAAAATGAGGGACACCCTTTTCAGCCGGCTCTGACCTGGGGGCAAAGCCGGAGGTTTCGCTTCCGAAGCTTCGGCTCCCTGAAAAATACTCCTGGCTGGCCTCGGCCCTTTAAACACGCAAAAAGGAAACTCAATACAAACTGGCACAGCACGCTTGACGCTTGCAACCAATGCACGGGGAAGTAGGAAGCGCCTTGCACCAGAAGCTTTTCGGTGTTGGCCCACTCCTTTTCCCAAACAAATCGCCACCACGGCAATTTAACAAAAGCGAAATTGATCTGCCTCTTGGGGTTCCCTTTAAGCCAACTAGGTCCTCCAGTGGAGCGGTTAGAATAAGGGTACCCTTTTTTCTGTAGTCTATGTTAGTAGGGGAACCCTTATACTGCGGGACCTAGCCAACCTATCGTTTGCAGCTTCGCTCAAAAAGGGCCTTCACGGGTAGGTTGGTCAAGTGGACCCTTTCAACAAGTGTCTACCCTTGCGGTTTGGGAATTGCTTCGAGGTTCGGAGCAACCGTGGTTTCCCCCCCTCATACAGGGGGACCAGCAGGACCAGGGGGAGGGGACCAACCAGGCAGACCAGGGAGGGCTGGCTGTATCACCCCCACGTTTACACCAAGGTGCAAGGCCGTCCGGTCCTCAGCTGCGAAACATCTGACGAGAGCGGGACGGCGCGTCCGTCGGCGACCAAACAAAACGCCAAAGCCCCACATCTTGGTTGACGTTGGAAGGGGAGCACAAATTTACATTTAACTGAGACAAAATGTAAAACAGTTCCCAACAACAACCATGATATGCCCACGCCGGGCGTCCGCAGTGAGGCTGATATCGATGCTGCCATCAGCATTGGCGGCGGCCGCCACTGTGGCGTTCACCTGGCTTTGTGCCCACCCAACCTTCGGGAATAGGGTTCCTCTACCAGACTTCGGCCGTGGCTCACACAACCCAAACTGTCCAAAGACCCGGTCAAGACTCCGCGCGGGATCTTCAAGCTCCCTTTCTTGGGGGAAGCTCCCTTGGGTGTCACGTTTCCACAGTTTCCTTCAAACTCCCAACCAAAACGACCATTTCCATGTTTCCAACCGAAACCGCTGGACCAAAGCCCGGCGGCTTCGGGACGCCTTGGCCGGAGGCAGGTGCAGCTGCGCTGGCGCGGCCTCAAGTCTCCGCGGGTTGCCAAGTAAGCCTCGTTGGTTTGATCCTTTCAGGTCGGCTTTCAAAGGGAAACCGAAAGGAAAACCGGGAATGTCTCTCCGTTTTTTTTGAGACACACCCAAATAGGCAAAAACCTATGACTACTCCAATTTCCTTCCATTCCCTTTGTTTGGCAGAAAGTGGCCCTCAAACCAAGTCGGCACAATCCTGGGAACAGACTAAAAGCAGCAGTAAACCAGGCCAAAACCCTATGCAAAAACAACACAAGCAAACAACCAACAGGCAGCTCGGCAAAACCCTCAAAAAAAGGAATGGGAACCCCCCCAGTCAAAAGCGCTAACCCCTCCAATTTTGTCCGCAAGAGTCCCTTTGTTTATCGCAGCTGGATGGCACAATCTCCCTGTACAAAGACGACCAACTCGTTATTGATTTACCGTTAGCTCCAAGCAAACAGTGACTTTTCGAGACAAGACCAAGCCTTCAAGTGTTGCAAAACACTTGGCCATGGCCTCGCATCGGCAGCTGGAAGCATCATTTCCGCAAATGCCCTGAAAGTAAAGCAACAACGTTTTGTTGGGCCTTGGGTTTACTTCCGGCTCGGGCTTCCCCCCAATTCCATTCAGCGCGCCATGAGGATCTCGTTGAAGGAGACCTGGGCCACGTGGGTTGGTCTCCCAATGGTTTCCAAAGAACGAAACGGAAAATGATAGCCTCAACCAAAAATGGATACATGTGGAACCCAAGCCAAATACCTCTAAAGACAATTTCCTTGTCGATCAGCAAAGTCAGTGAAAGAATAGGCTGCTGGAATTCGTCCTTTGAAAGGAGCCGTCCATGGAATGTATCTTTGCAATTCGGCTTCGGACAGAACTCATTGTCTGGGCAGTTTCTCTTGATGTCTGCGAGCCTTGGGTGAACATGTCTTCAAATTTGTCTACCAAGAGTCTACTTGAAAACTGCCCCAGCGGCCGCAATGCAAGTTTGGGGGACACCCGCTGGTGTCGCAAAAGGTACTCTGCCCAAAACACGCCTGAAACCCCCAGGCCGAAGCCAACCGCCCTCGTTTTCATGGGGCTGGACCCCTCCAACTCAGATGGGGCACGCAGCCGTCGCTGCTGCCATAGGCGGCCACTAGCCTGGCGGTGAGGGAGGAGCACCTTCCGGCCCAATACCAAAGGCACCCCCAAGTCACAGGTCTTGGCACTGGACAGTCGTGGGCCCAGTTCGCGCTTGCGGCTCAGCATTCAGTTTTCAACTTGTCAAGAAGGTTGGGATTGACAAGAACTAGACTCTGACACCATGCAGCGCCCACATCCTCAAACCGCCAAAACTTGCCTAGGGCCTAGCATCACTTTCTAAATGACATCCCCCGCCAAGAACAATCCCTATATGTCCCCCCTGAAACGTCACCCACCTCTCCCAAAGAGGACCAAAAGGAAGCTTGGCCTTTCCAAACAGCCGATATTTACCACAAAAAGAAGAGGCAGACATATGGCAACCCCTTATATCCCCAACACAGGATCCCCAGAACTCGGAACCGCGCTGTGCATCGTCACGTAGTTTCAGGTCGCCTGGAGGGTGCCGAGGTGGTGCACTCACCCAGGAGCATGTAGGAAGAGCTGTCCATTCCGGAAACCTCCACCTCGCCGCTCGCGCGAGCAGGGGAAGTTTCTCCGCGCATGAATGGCGGGCACCTCCGGGTTCTGGGAACAAAATCGACCACTTGAAGACTACCTGGTAGCTCATCTTTACATGTTCACTTTTGGGCCCATGCCAGGGGAAAAGACGTAACATCACCGGTACCTGCAAACATCCAAGCACCCAGCCAGAAAGAAGCCAACTTTGAATTGGTCGTGTCCAGGCTTTACTTTGCCAAAAGGATCCGGACCTTTAAACAACTCTTGGACCCATGGCTACAAGTAGACAAAGAAGGTTTGGCAGTGTGACGGTCTACCTGTCTGAGTCGCAAACCTATCAACGAAGTCTGCCCAAAACCATCACAATCAGCCCAAGCAGCATCAAAAACAGCGGCCAGAAACCTCCAGGAACCTGCCCCAAAACCCCCCGTCGTCGCTGGGAAGTCTGTACCTCAGCTCAAACAGGGTTCCTCAAGATCCAGATCCAGAGGTTCTTCACTCTGGGGCTTGCTGAAAGTCTGTTTCCCTTTGCGTTGGGCCTTTTGTTTCCGCCATCTAGATTCCCGCTGTCTCCAAATGAGCCGTTTCTGGGGATGTATTTCAGGGTTGTGGGATCAAAGAGTTTATCCCCACTTCTGTGATACAAGGCAATCTCCCCCTTTATCTGCAGGCTTAGTCTTTGGGGCTGGCCCTTTCTGTACCACAGAAGTGGATTCCATTTCAACCACAGCCCTGGGATGCCGTGCTTTCCACGAGAGCAGAAACCCCCCGCCCCGGCCGGGAGGGGGGGGGGTGCGCCTGGAAAAGCTCCTTGGTGCCTGGCCCCGCTCTCAGCGGCGCGGAGCTGAAGTCCAGCGCCTTCAGCAGCTCCTTCCGCCCGTCCGCGAAGCGCCTCGTCTCGCGGAGCGAAAAACCGCACCGTGCGTCACAGCTTTCCTCAACATGTGGCGGAAATCACCTTAGACTCTTGCGGTCAAACCATGCGACGAGGTGTGCGGTGCCATTGAGGCTGTCCTATTTGAGGAAACACCCAAAGGCAAGACCCGTGAACCTGGTCCTTCTCAATGAGGGATCCTTTAGCGGGAGCCTCCCTAGCATCACAAAAGTTATGGACAAATGAAAATGTGCCACTCACACGAGTCGCAATCATATCTCTGCTCGACTGTCCCGACCCAAGGTACCAGTAGGTAGTGAATGCCAGTGGCTCGATCAAGGTGGCCAATTTTCAGACGTGTGTTTCTCTTTTGGGCGTGGGATTGTCTCAGAATAGGAGAAGTTTCCTTCTGGCTTCCCCTTAAACCAACCAGAAGGGGCACGTTCAAAAAAACAAGTCCTATTGGCTTTCCGTTGAATGTCTAAACCCAGCTTGGTCTGCGTGTTCATCCCGAGTGGCAGGAAAGACACGATGCACACGCCCTCAAAGGCCGTGGGCCCATCATTCTTCACATAGCACTGGCCATCCGCGCCACACGCGACCATCACGTCCGCAAAGATCGAGCGCCTCCGCAGGGCTCAGGGCTTTTCGGGATATCAAAAGAACCATGTAGCTCTTCCTGGCTTCCCCTAAGCCCACCCCAACAAGGGGAAATTCAAAAACACACACACACACGTGCAAGTGCAAGTGCAAGTGCAAGTGCACGCGTTTTGCGAAAAAGCTGGCATGTCTTAGAAACACCTCGGGCGTTGACAACAAGGTCTCCTCCCTTTTTGGGGTCAAACAGGGCCCGCCTTAAACATCACAAAGTGCAGCCGGAATCAACCGATTATTATTCTTTAATTGGGAGCCTTGGTGGACAGCATTTCAGTGGGGATTTGCGTCCACCAACCAGAGAGGTATCCCCCATTCAAACCCATAGCCATTCTTGCCAGTGCATCCACGCTTACGCCGGACGAACATGTTTTTTTGTTCTTTTCCGGTTGCCGAAAACTTGGCGCTTCCGAGTGCCAGGGTCGCCCATTCTGGCCGAGCATATCTGGTGCTGCACTTTGCCCCAGATTCGTGCCAAGCAATTCCGGGCACCAAAAGCAGGCTTCAGCTTCCCAGTTGACTCCTCTCAACCCAATCTTTTCTCAAACTCCTCAAAACGCGGCCCAAACCCCCCAACACTCCCAACCCTTACTCCCCAAACTCCCCCACACTCCCCAAACTCCCCAAGCTCCCCAAGCTCCCCAAACTCCGGCAAAAACAAAACGCTCCCCAAACGCCCCAACACTCCCCAAAACTCTCACCCAAAGTCCTCAAAAGCCCCAAACCGTGGTGGAGCTAATGGGGGAAGGAAGCCAGCAGTGAGTGTGTGAATGAGTGGAGGGGTGGGTGGGGGGGGGCGGGCGGGTAGGTGGGTAGGTGGGTGGGCGGGCGGGGGCGAGCGAGCGCGCACACGTGAGCGAGGGAGTGAGTGAATGAAGCGAACGATGAGCAGTCTGCGTTGCGCAACAACCCATCCACGATGGCAATTGTCCTGGACCTGTTGTTGGAAACCACCAAAAACGTGATGTTTACCAACCCCAAAACTCCAACCCGAGGCTCCTGTAGAGGTAGTGCAAGGGCTTCCAGCGGCCGCCCAGCACTTGCCCCTTCACCGGGGTCCCGTACCTGAGCTGATGGGTGAGAAGGGTTCCACCCATCGGTACCCCTATATAGGTATGCGTGTTTTTTTCTTTTTAACGTATAGGTATGTTTTTGTTGATGTTTTTTTTCCTTTTTTTAACGACATCATGGTGGGGAGCGACCTTGCGTGTTCTTGCCTTCGGCTCGTCCTTCCCCATGAAAAACCTACAAGAGTTTAAGATGGTGTCCCGACCCAAACCACTACCACAAGAAAACATGGTGTTTGTAACCTGTATTTAGGGGCTATTTTGGCTTGTTGTCCAACTTTATATACCAAAGTCCAAGCTGGTAATAATGATCCCGAATCAACAAAAAGGCCATTTGCAACGGAGAGAAGAATACGTATTTCTCCAACAGGTCATTCGAGAAGTGAAGCACCCTGAGGTGGGGTTGTCCTTCCATGTCCCATGTTTTCTCCAAACCAACGGTGGAGTCGACCAATATCCTCAACCCACATGTGAGCGGTGTTCCAAACCTTACGGAAGAGAAATCTCAGCTCCCTTTCGCAGGGGCTTTTGCTGGGCTGGCGTGGCCGAAGAGGGTGCTTTCGCGAGGGGTTTTGGCAAAGCAGCCACCGGTGCGGCGCTCTCATGGAGTGAGGCGTGGGTTCAATGGTCGTGCTCGCTTTCGCAGACACACACGTGGGAACGCGGAAGGAACAAGGCATGGGTTGGGATCCGAAGAGAGGAAGTTGCAGGAGCTCCCCTTCCCTTTGCGGAGCTTTCACTTGACTTTCGTGAGGCTTTCGCGGCATTTCGACCACATGTCCACGTTTAACCCACCGTGCTTGACCTTACGCGCGCAAGTATTTTAGAACGCTGCTCATGAGTGTTTCCAGCCTGCAACCGTGAAAACATGGCCCGGTTCGCACCATCAAAGCAAAAAAGACAAGAAGTGGGGGCAGGGAAACCTTTTTGTCCCTTCAAAAATCCTTCCTCTGGGCGTCCCTTTTGGCGTCCCACGATGAACCCAACCGACTCGGCCAAGGTGCTCCAGTGAGCCTCAGAGAGAGAGGGCTTCCCATTCTCTGAAAACCGAGAAGGGGGTCCAACATCAAGACACATGCTCAAAATCCAACAAAAATGAGTTGAAGCCCAATCTGGGTGACGCTCAGGGATTCGAGTGTCTTCAAAATGAGCCCCGTCCAAGCGGCAAGAATCGTTGTCTTCCGGGTTTCCTTTCAAAACCAACCTGAGGGAGACTTGGCCTTTTGCGTTTCACTGAACCCGGAAGGTGGTGATGACCGTGCCTGCCCTGGTCCTTTCGGTCAAATATGGGGCTGTGACACCGCCAAAGGGGTCCAAGGGCCAGCATGGTTGTGAGCAAAAGCCCCATACAAGAAATTGTCTGCCCAAACCACTTTCCGCAAACATGACGCTCCTGTACAGAAAAAGCGCTTGCTCATACACCCATCGTCTCGCTTGGCAAACAAAAATCACGCAAATACTTTATCTGTGAAAGTGGATTACCCTGGCCACTGTCAAATAGCAAGCGGCAGAAAACCTCGGTTCCTCTCTGTTTAGTCAGCCTGGAGTTGAGGTGAATTGTTACCACCCAAAAAGGAATCAATCAGCTTGTCTCAACATATGGGAACTCCCACGAGCTTGCGGTTTCCCTTCTGCTTACCCAAGCAGCCCAAAAAGTATGGTGTGGCGCCATCCCCAAGAAAGGGATGCTTTCGCCCTGCGTTCGTGTCACGTTCGCGGCAAGGCGCCCCAGCCGCCGGTGGGCCAAATCTCGTTGAGCTGCCACACCAGGGCGCCGAACTGATTCTGCGAGCGCCTGGTTTGGCGATCGGCGTTCGGCGGCTTTGGGCTTTTGGCGTTGCGGACTTCTCAAGTGAGAAAAAAAAGAACGTCTTCTGCGGCCTTGGGTGTGTATGATGTGTTGGTGTCCATTTGTTTTGCACAGGTCGGGGGGGGGAACCGAGACGCGCCTCGTCTCGATGTCCGACTTCAGGATCAAGGCCTGGCACCGGATGGCGCGCCGGAGAAAATACGCCGCGCCCGAGACCCGAAACCCGGGCTTTGGTTGGGCCAGGCTTGTAGCCTCACGGGTCCCGAACGCACCAGAGGGTCCGGAGCTCACAACGAAAGCTGCTGGGGAAAGGCAGTAAGGTTCATTTGGGACAACCCAGTGGGAGCCATGATTGGTGTGGGTGCCGTGCCAGCAAAACCACATGAGCCCAGTTGGACTCCGAAACTTCTCTGGTTCTCAGGAACGAGGTAATGAGCCCAAACTGCGCCATCCAACGGGTGGTTTGCTGGAAGACCCCAAAACAACGGTTCCCCAATCTGGCTCGCTACTGAGAACCAGAAAGAAACAGGCCATATAAAGGATACATCTGCGGTCAGAAGTGCAAAAAAGGATCCCCTTTACCAGGTGATTTAGACGACTTCTTTATACAGCAGGAAGTTTTTGGGTGTATCCTTCCACCGAAATGCAAGTCTCCCAAGATTTATCAACATGTCAAAGGGGACCCTCAAAATCACACGAGCCCTTGTGGATTCCTCCAGTAAATGCTATGCTTCCTCCGTCGCCTTTGTCTAAAAAACAACATTGCGCTTCTTGCTTGGGCCAATGCTAAAACCAAACCCCCCTTCTTTGCACTCCTCAAGGTTGTTTTTGATTTCATCTGTCCAAATATCTCAATGTTCATGAGACCCATTTGACTGCCCCCAAGTTCAGGGCTTTCCCTCGTCGCCCTTTTTCTCCGCACACCGCTTGCACGTAGCGCGCGCCTGGGCCAGCATGCACTGGAAGAGCTGGCGCTTGAAGATGGCCTCCCCGGTCTGGTTGAAGTAGCTGTCCGGGTGGAGACCTCGGCTTTTAGTTCTCGCCCCAACATGGGCGAAGGTTCGGCAGAAAAGGGAAGGGAACTCTGTGGTTGTGGGAGTTGCTATGTTGTGGGAGTTGGTAGCTGCGTTTCAAAGGAAAAAAAAACACAACTTTTGGGGATCCTCCTATTTTGACACAAACCCCAAAGGATCACAAGATTGGCTTCTGTTTTGAATCGGATAGTTTAAGCCCGAACTGTTTGCTTGCCTCCCTCGCGCAATGAAAGTGCGGCGAAATGTGGATGCCGGGTGGCCGAAGTAAGCGTTGATGAGGCTGTCGCAGGGATAGTTCCGCTGAGCCATGACGTTGGGGCCTGCAAAGAACATATGACCCCATTCAGTTTTCGCAGCTTCCCTGGAAACAAGGAGAACATAAGGTCGTCCACTTTCCCTGTGTACAAATCGGACATGTCAACCCCCAGCGGCCTTTGCAGGTGTTGGCAAAGCCCGTCTCGTTGCAGGTGTCCTGAGCAGAACTGCCTTGTGATATTGTGGATGGACAAATCCGAGTCGCACCACTTGGAATGCGTCACAGGATGCATGAAACCCTATGAATACTGGAAGAAACCACCCACCAACTGAAGCGGCTGGAGGCCTTCCCAATCAATTCCTTCCCATTAGGGATCCTGAGCAGCTAGCCGTTGTAACCCCTCTGGCCAAAACGACAACAAACAAAAAAGCACCCATGTGGTTGTTGTATTCACATTTCTTCTTCGTCGGCTCTTCTCATGTGCTTCTCCGACAGAAAGAAAAAACACTTCCCAAAAAAAAAAACACCCCCCTCAAAGAAGCCCCAGCCCGCCGCTCTTTCTTTGGGCGCCCCGGCGGACACCTGGCCCGCGTGCAGGCCCCAGTGGGCTTCGTGCAGCGTGGGGGCCATGGACTCGAAGGAGCTCATCACCACGGCCCCGAACTCCGAGCCGAAGACGTTGCGCCGCTCCAGGCCCGTGGCCTCCGCAGACACCTCTGCGGGCGAGAACGAGCCCATGGAGCCCATGGAGCCCATGTGAGCTGGAGAGCATCTGCTTCAATCTCGCTGTCCGTGCACCAGCAACTCCGACTTTGACAACAAAAGCGCGTGAGAACTGATAACCAGAACCGTCAAGAAACTAAATGCCACGGTGCCAACGACGCGCCCGCCTGCAAAATGCTGAAAACACACCTTTTAAGGGTAATAATACGGGGGACACCTCCCAAGATCGCCAGGACAGGCAAAACCAAAAGCTTCATCTCACCTTCGGATCTCTGCGGGGAGGATCATGCAAATCGGAGGAGCCCCTCACAAGAATCCTTCCAAAGCAGGACCAGTATGATGGGCACTGATTCGAAAGTTGCTCTCAACGACAGCCTTGAAGACCCATGACCAAAATCACCGCCGAACGGCGGTGAAACAAAGAATCCGCCAGCCTTGATTGGCAAGTTGGCGTTGAAGCCCCACATCTTCGCCCAGCCGTTCACCGAGGGAAAGCCTGTACCATGCTGGTAATAGCCGTGCGTCTCGATCACGTGGGACGTCCTGCGCCCGTAGCTGACTCAACATGAACGAGAAGGGCGATTTTCGCGGTCTCTGACCCTGCAAAAAGAGAAGTTTGTTTGCTGGTTCGCGAGTTCATGGCATTTTGGTGAAACCTCCACACAACCAAGTAAAACAAGGGGGCGCTCAAAGAGGTTTTCACCAACTCCAGGGTCAGGTGTGCCACCCCCCAGCAGTCTGATTTCCAACAGGCCTCTTGACTCAAAGCGCTGCATCCCGCGTCTGTTACTGGAGGGAACCGGAAGGGCCCGTCACATCCATGTCAAAAGTTCTACTTAAAAGACAAAGCACACACACACACACATAAACCCCCCCCGGAACTCTTACATCTAAGGAGAACCGGATGTTCAAGGGTTCAAAAAGAGGGAAAAGCGGGACGCGGACTGCCTGGTGTCGTTTTTTTGGTCTCCCTGGAAGCACCTATATAAACGCCGGCCCCTGTCCGATTCTAGGAAGCACCCGTGCGGCTGAAACGCCCCCAGAGCAGCGCCCAACCTATGAATTGTAGGGAATCCCTAAAAAAACGACTGTCTGGGCATACATCTTCCATGTAATTTTTCACTCGAGTCCCCAAATCAAAATTCATACCATACAGGCCTTGCTCGAGTCCCTTCCTGCAAACATGGAACCTTTGGGCGCTCGAGAGATTCGGCCAGTCCCAGGCGTGGTCAGGGGCTTGCCGTTGGGCAGGCAGTCCAGCTTGTGAACGCCTGCCGGTACCCACAAAGACGCCGAAGGAAACTCCAGGATCGGAGTCCCATGGAAATGGACGAGCCCATTGAAATCCATCTGATCGGTAAGGTTGACAATCAAACGCATTGCATACATCTCCAGGCTCTACAATGGTCTCCACCCAATCCCTCAGGGAAAATGGAAGGGGGACACGTAACGTTTAAATACTGGCTCAAGACAGGTGTTTGGTCGACTGCACCATTCGCAGTCTGAAACCTATCCATGTTGCTTCGCCTTGAACAAACGCAATAAAGCAATATTCCTCTGAGGTCATCTCACTTTTGTATGTTGGCCATCCAGCAGTTTTAACCCACCCATTGTTCCTTGCAATCCAACCTATGTTGGCGAAGGACGCACCGATTGAGCGCTACAACCCGCTGACGCTTGGTTCTACTATCACGGGAATACAGGTTTGACTAGGCCCCCCATGAAACCAGGTGGAGAAACACACCACCACAAAGGGGGCCAGATCCCTAATGTAAGACAAGGGCAGGATTAAGCATTGCCATGAACAGCCCAGAAGCGCCCCCCCTTGGGTGGGACGCTTTTTGGGGCGCGCGCCTCCCTTGGGACCCCCCGCCTGTGGTCCAGCCGAAGGCGGGGCAGGAGGGCCAAATGGAGCGGCTGTCGTCCTCCTCGGCAACCACGGTCATCACGAAGGTGGCGTAGATCTCCGTGGGGGTCCCCATGCGCACCTGTCCGAACGCGGCGAGATGCTGTGGATGGACAATCCCTCTTAGGCACCACTTTGAAACCATGGTTGAAACCACCGTTTGTTGGTATTTGCAGGGGAATCATCAGTCCAGGCTTTCTTAGGTGGTGCAGGAGTTCGTCCATCCACAGCATGAATCTGTGAATCTTCATGGGGAACACCCTCCCAACTGCTCGGTGCACGGGAAATCCCACCAAAAAAGGATGTCCAAGTTTGTGGATGTTTTACTAAAGTGAGTATGACTCTTAATCGGAAACCCTTTTGTGCAAATCATTTATGTGGGGGTTCATGTCCACGAACAACTTTACAGGATGTTCCCTATTGAAATTCACAGTGCCAATTGTACAGTTGGACCCGCCCCCAAAAAAAATATGTCCTGATTCTCCTCTTCACGTGCATGGAATCGAAACTGACACCCTTTGCAAAAACATGAGCTCTCCCTTGAAGCTCTATGAACTGACCTGGGGCTTCAAAACAGATCACATGACCATAGCTCCGAATTCTGCAGGTTATGCTATTCAATTGTGTTAGATTGGCGTGTGTTTCCCACGGTGAAGAAGCCCTCTCAAATGAGTTGGACGCCCTTCAAAGGGGTTGAGTGATCCTGGGTCAAGCAGATTTTCATCTTTTCGGACACGCCCGCCCGAAACGGCCAAGCAGCGGTGCACTCGTTGCAGCCGTCCCAGATCACGATGGAGGGATGCGAGGAAAGTCGGCGGATCTGACGAATCCGGCATTCTGGTACCGAAATTGCTGGGTGGTTTGAATTGGTGCACAAACCGCAAATCCAAACCAAAGCAGGAGCTGAAACATGGAACCAAACAGAAGTCTCGCTTTTCGTGGGGGGAATCGGAGCGTAGGTGGCTCCCATGGTTGTGCCTGAACCCACCATCTTCCTGAAAAACTGCATAGTGCCCCAAAATGATGGCTTGGTTGTCCCCTTTTTGAGGGAGTTTGAGGGTCCGGGTGTCCCTCTCTGTGATACAGTAAGTTCATCACCCTAAAGGGGATTGGTCCCTTGGTATTGCAACAAGTGGCGACCTAAGATCCAATTTGGTCACCACCATAAACCCCCTTGGAAAAAGCAATACTTTTCCGGTAGTGATAGATTCCCTTTAAAACCAATAAGGGGTTTGCAAAAACAAAATCAAACTATGATCATTTCAGTCAATTCGAGAGACACCGGCTGCAAATGGAAGTCGTCACCTTTTGGCGCTAGAAATGAGATCCAACTCAGGGAGTGAGTTGGGGCCACTAGATATGGGTCATCTTTATCTCTAGGAATCAGACCTCCGAAAAATGAGAAAAACATGAGAGGAATTAAGAAAGCCTCATTCTCTCATGTTTCTATTTTGGTTCGTCAGACTGAGAAGACTGAGCCTAAAGACGAGCTGAGTGTCAAGGAAGAAGTCAAAGAGGAAAAGCCTTCGGCTATTTGGCCGCCGAATTACAACACTCATACCTTTGAAGAACGACACCCTTTTTGACACCCGTTTTCCCGAAGCATCATCAACAAGCTAAGGTGAAATCAGAGCCTGTAGACTGTTGACCCGGTGGCAAAAAAAGAAAGACCGAATGGAACGCTGCCTTGCGCAAGATGGGAGGCGACGCCAAATTCGTGAAGGACCCCATTATGTTTCCAACATTAGGCTTCAAACCTCACAGGGGACTTGCTTGCGGAAACCCTGGAGTTCCTGGCCCTTCCATGATCCGAAGGCGAAGGCTGGCCAAGACCTGCCACATCCAGTGGATGTGGTTCCCTCAGCCTTCTTCACGCCGGAAAAGAGTCAAGCCACAATGAACCAGCTCAAGAACTTTTTGGAAGAGACGAGCAACGTATTTTGCATGCTCAAAGACGTGTCTTTGGAGCTGGTAGCCTTTTACAGCTGGTTTAATAGGGAAGCCAACCAAAAACACTTTGTGAGGTCCCCACTCTTGAGACAAACGCACACTAACCTGGGTGCCCCACTCAAACTTCCGGGCGTTTCAGTAAAAAAGCCAAGTCTATGCCCCTGAATAGTCAACCCCCCGGTCACTAGTCGGGGGCTATGGCTTCGAAGAACAGAATCCAGGTGCCCGGATCCCCCCCAGTTTGAGTCCTGCAAAACCACCTTAGTACCACCCTCATAAGAATGACTCCATCTTGTTTCTCTCAGCTTAGAGTTGGCAGGCCTGGTGTCGGAGCTCTGTGTCCTGCACGTAATTCTTCTCCGGCGCGTGCCCGGACTGCGCGTACATCATGTCGTGGAAGACCTCGAACAGCACTTGCCCTACATGGGTTTCATGTCGATGATTCATTCAAACTGCATACGCGAATATTAGACATCGGGAATGTCAAACTCTTCAAGTTCATGAATTTGCTCCTATCAAAGTCCACCAACTGGTAGGTTCAAAAAAACACCCCACTGTTTCGGACTTTCTACGTTTCTTTCTTGTTTCCCTTTGGCTCTCCTTTGGTTTCCTTTCCGTTGGCATTGCTTTGGGTCGCCCCTCCGCACCCCAACTCGAAATCGCCGAGGCGCCACCAGGCCCAGCTCATCGCAGGCCTCGTAGAACTCGTCGGGCAGAAAGATGCCGCCGCCCCAGACGCGGAGCGTGTTCATGCCTCGGAGATGGCCCAAAACATTGGGACGAGGTCCCCCAGTAGAGGTTAGAATAAGGATCTTAGAAGGGGAACCCCTCCCCCAAAAAAAAGGAAAAGGGCACTACTGAGGGACCTATTGGGGGGTCCCTTGGTTTGAATGTGGTTTCCATGTTGTTCGTTGTTCATGCCTGAATGAAGCCTTTACACGCTTTACTGGCCCTCCAAATAAAAAGACACGCCCAACCCAGGTTTCTCAAAATGCTGTGGATGGACAAATCCTGCACCAGTCGGTGGTTTGCCCCAGTTTTGACAAAGTGTCATCCATCTCAACTGGTGCAGGATGTTGCCACCGCGTCCTTCACTTTCCTTTACACCAAAAAAAGGGCACCATTTTGAGAAAACCGACAATTGTCGTGGAGCTTGACATTGTGTTGGGAGGATGATTCGTATAAAGGGTGTGTGGGTGACCTTGTTTGGTTCAAATCCAAGAGCAAAGCAACACACCCATAAGATGTGTTTGGCCACCAAAGTCCAGGCGTCATGTTTGACACCTCGTATTTCACGATTCGACCTGTTTCTTCTTCTTCTTTTTTTTTTTTGGGGGGGGGGGGCAGAACACCTTGTGCGTGCAAGCACCTATTCTGAGAAACATCCACGCAGCTATCAACTTTAATGGGGATTCTATGTCGCACCCATATCCTCAGCTAACCAACTCTGTAGCTGACCAAACTGGGGAACAAAACAAAGCTGGGGGTTTTGTTTGCATTTCTGCGAAACTACACAAGTTGAAGCTCCCCAAAAACCCCCCCACCCCCGCCCCCCCCCCCACAAAGTGAGGCCCCCACCTCCCTGTAAAAACTGAAGCGCCCCCCCACCCCCTAAAACTGAAGCTGGGGTTTGCTCCATCCGCCCCGAGATCCGCCCCGAATTTCCCGTTCATCCATCGCCTCCGTCCGCGGCGGAGCGTACCAGCACGCGGTGGGCCTCCCCGTTCATCCGGCCCTCCAGCTCCTCCATGGGGATGACGTTGGCGCCTGCGCAGGAACCAATCCAGAAACACCCCACACTCGAGCGCTCGGTTGGGCGAACCCGGTTGGGCACAGCTTGTTGAGGGAAGGAGGTCGTAACACCCCAAGTTGCGGAGAAGGCGCTTGGCGTCCAGAGAACCACGCTGGTCTTCTGAGGAAAGTGTTGCAATTCTGAACTCGTTGCACCCTAAAACTCCGGTGTAAGAGGAACGCCCACCAAAAAAAAAGAAGGCCCGCACATATGGGAGGCCCGAATTGCATTGGGGGTTCCTTAGGTCCCAAAAGGGGGGGGTGGGCTTTGGAGAGAATGGGTTTGCCCCTAGGTGTTCGGTGGGTGCCTTCGACGATTTTGGGATCAGGAGAAACCAAAGGTTCAAATCCCCGGTTCCCTCCAACTCAAGCCACAAATTGAAAGGCAAAGAGGAGGGGGACACTTCTCAACCTTTGTGGATGAAGGAAGAAAAGAGAAACCGCCCAGCCGGGATTCTGCCCTGCTCTGGCAGAGACCTCCATGATTTCCTCTAAGGACCGTGTGCCAAAACCAAAACACAACGCCGTTGGGTCGATGGTGTGTTCAAGAGGGAGCTGACATGTCCCCCTGCAGCCAGAAAAACAATACTTTATTTCGAGCAACCCCCACCGAAGAGATTTGCTTGGCCAAACTAGACTGCATCAATCCGTGGGAGAAACACATACAAAGACACCGAAACTAACTTGTGCAGTAGGCGTCACAATGTTACAATTTTACACTGTCAATTTGGGCCTGTTCTTCCCGAAAGCAGCCTCTGGGACGGCTTTTCAGTGGCCATCCAAGAGAAAGCCTTTGTGGAGAACGCCTTCTTGGACGGCGCTCAATTCCCTAATGGCTCAGGAGCGGCCCTCGAATGGCTGGTCTCCTTACTGGTCTCCCTCGCATCATTAAACCGTGGGACAATTTAGCGAAACATCTCCCCGACTCACAGGGCTACGTGGCCACCCAAAAATTGATGGTTGGTCCTTTTGGGCGTCCATTGAAGCAATCCCACGAAGGGGTACCGTCAAACAGGGAATGGAACCTGCACCATTCCTAAAACCCCATGGTCTGGACAGCTTTCCTTCACTGCTTTCATGGCAATGGTGAGTACATCAAAAAGGTGTCAGAGTGGGAATTTGAGCTTGTGGGGAGTGTTAGCGGGGTCCTTGAAAGAGACAGGGAAATGAACTCCCCAGAGCTTCATGCGTTTGTCGAAGTCCTTGTGAGGACGGGCGGTTGCTGCAATGTCGCTACTGATACTAAGTTGGAACAAGCCGTCGAAGAAGACGCTGAGGAGGGCGGCCCACGCTGACGTGCGGAGACATGCAGGTTGCGGTCTGCAAGATCAAGTCAGCTGCCCAGACGCTTCGCGAAGATGAGCGGGCCTGGTGGGCACATTCCTTTGCTGACACGCTTGCTGATGAAAGGGCAGCCAGCGTTGAACCAACGCAAAAGGCTGCCGCGAACGAGTGGATGTGCAGAAGAGCTTCTGCTTGGTGGTTGCTGAACATGAAGTTTTGGCTTGAGCAGAAGTCCCAGCCAGGCTCACTAAGCAGGCCCTTTGAGCCATATTGGGCATCAATGGGTTAAGAAAGGAAAATACTTGACCTGCTTGAAGTGCGGAGATGCCATTAAATACTACCACAAGCTTGAAGGGATGCAAACTGGCCGTGGTGATGTTGCTGAGGCAGGTGGTTGCTTGATACATGGTGAGGGCTGCTGGGCAGAAGTTCTCCTGCCATGCAGATTCACGGCAGGGGGCCAGGTCAGCTGAAAGCTTAAGCGCCTGGTTTGTGGACCGAAAAACATGGCCTAAACGGAGAATGCAGAATTGTCAAACCAGGGCGACCCCAAAACAGGTGCCTGGCCTTTCGGTTTCCCTTTAAACCAACCTGAAAGGGGTACCCTCAAAAAAGAACGCCAACAAAAACAGAGCATGGATTCCAATTGGGGACCCTATTTTTGGACATCATTTATGCGGGGAGTCAGGTCCACCAACCACTTTTGAGGCGGTTCCCTCTTGAAATGCATGGCCAGATCTAGTTGGATCCCGCGGCTTAAGATCGATCCACCTATGCCCCTCGCCTTTGGACCAGAAGGCGACGCCGTTGATCCGGAAGTACATGCCCTGAGCCCGGCGTGAAAAGCGTTGTCCACGGTGAAGGAAGGAAAACCCGACAAATCTCATGACCTGGGCATTTAAGCAGGTGTGCACAAAGATCTATGTTTCTAAGCCATGTTCTGCAAGCTATCAACAAGTCGCGATATGGGTATCTCATGTTTTGAGTTCGTACTTATGTTTTATGTGGTTTTGAGGGAGAACCAAACAACTAAAACCCAGAAGCCCATATGTCTCCATTCATGACTAACCCATTCGGAGGACAAAAAGATGTTTCGCTCCTTGGAAAGGTCCATGGTTGCGTCAATGGTAACCCACCTAAGCCGGCAAA